TAAAACACTATTTTAGTGAACACAATCAATTAAAAATGTATGTTTAATTGAGTGTGAAATTTATTAGAAATGTCTAATTATATAATAATAAAATGTAAATAATACATTTATATACTAAATGTTAATTTCATTTAAAAGATCTTAATTATATTACTTTTCTGTCATCATAATATTAGTATTAAGTAAATAATTGTTTGAGTGGATGTTCATTTGTGTCATGTCTTTTCATTTTTCTTTGTTCAAAATGTTTAAAACAAAACATGTTTTCTTGAGAATATTAATTTGCATAAGACAAAAATGAATTCAACAGTCAGTTACGAAAGAACAAAAAAATCTCATTCAATGAGAAAATCAATGGGATTGAGAATCCCACTGACAAATTGATTTTTAACGATAACAATTTTTTTTTTATAGACAAGCGTCTTCCTACACTCTCTAACTTCTTTAATGTTTGGGTATATACTGTATGTATATTTTGCAATAAATTAAAACATATATTGTTTCTATATAAATAATCATCATCTTAATTTAAAACCATCCAAATAAATAGTTTTATATTATCTAATGTTTTTTTTTGTTTTTTTCTCGATTATGTCATTTGCAATACTATAATTAAACCAAATAAATTATCATTTTGAAATAATTTACTCACCTGCATGTCGTTACGAACCTGTATGAGTTTCTTTCTTCTGTTTAACTTATTAAAGTATGTTGAAGAATGTTAGTAACCGAACAGTTGCTGGTAGCCATTGACTTCCACAGTAAAAAAAAAAAATACTATTGAGGTCAATGACCAGCAACTCTCTCGTTACCAACATTGTTCAACATATCTTATTTTGTTTCAAGAAAGGGTGAGTAAATGTGTTTTTTGGGTGAACGTTCCCTTTAACGATCACTTAGACAGCACATTTAGTCTAAATCAGCTTTTACTGCGTTTCTGTCAGCAGATAACTGTGAGCTAAAATACCTCTGTGTTCTGGAAACGTCGCCTCACAGAGACAAATCCTTATCAAAATCAAACTAAAACTCCCTTTCCGGCCAAACGTCCGACCGCTGGGCTTCAAACACGACGCCATTGAAACTGAGAAGTGTTTTCCTGAGCACACATCAGTTCCCTGCCAAACTCCAGTGAGTGTTTGTGTCTGTTTGCTCCTGCATTGTTGCGTGTGTAATTTTAGCCGGCGTTCGCTGTGGTCTTTGGCGACGGGTCACATTGTTTGGTGCTTTCTATAGGGCACTTTTATTTAGCAGACACTCTGTAAGACTGAAATAGTGCCACACTGTAAACAGTCTGCAGGTTTGTGTCGCAGTATGTTCAACAAAGTCATTCAGCCACTTTCTTTCTCATTAAATGGTTGATGAAAAGTGGTTTATAATTAGGGCTGGGTTTTGACACAAATTTCAAGATTCGATTCGATTCTCATTCACAAGTTTCGATTCGATTTGATTGCCAATTTGATTCGATTCAATATAGATTATTTTGGATATATATCAGGTACAGTATACTTGTCAAATTAATTAACTAATGCTGTAAAATATACATGAGAGTCATTTGGTACAACATTACTATAATACTGACGGTTAAAATTGACTGATTTCTAAGCTATAGCATACAACTGTTAAAATTACACGAAGTTTTTAAAATAATAAAGTTACAATTACATAATAATATTTCTACTTCAATTCGTTTTTTTTTTTAAATATAAAAATGTAAATGGTGGATGTCATAAAAAATTGATGGATTTATTCAAACATAAATTAAACATAAGAACAGTAAAATTTATAATGAATATGTTATATGGTGCATATATTTAACAAAATGCCCCTCTCTACAGTTTATTTTTCTGGTTGACTAATGAGTTTATGGTCACGAATATGTTTTTCTGAGGTAAATGTGACGTTACGTTACATTGTTTACAAGCTGTTATATTGACGTCTTTGCGCGGCTGAAACACTGATTGAGCGATTACATGAGACAGCATACGGATTGTAAAATTGTACTCTTTTTTTTAACTTACCTTCGGATGTTTAGTCATGTTTATTTTGTGCTATAACTAGTATTAAAGCGGAGGAGATGATCAGTTCACGTGCGCCTCGCGCTGCTGCGTCTGTTGAACTGAGGCGCTACAGCGATCTGTCACTCCACATTAAACAGCGCCAAAACGGCATTTATTGTTTGAATACTGCAATACAATGGACATAAATTGAAATCTGGGACTTTGTTTCGTATTAAAAGCACCAAAGCACAATGCTTATTGCGATTTATTGGATGGGAGGTGCCCTTCAACGTTACGTCCATTAACTGAAAACAGGCTAAACTAATCGATTCTTGGGATTTAACAATCGATATCGTTCCGTAAAAATGAGAATCGATTAATATCGAGATATCGATATTTTTTACCCAGCCCTAATTATAATATTTGAGTCCCAACAGAATGAGGCCGACATGAAATCAAAACCGACCCTGAACGGTATTGTTGAAGTGCTATTGATGAACGTTTTACTGTTATTATGATTGTTTTAATTTCAGCTTTGGCTGCGCTGACACTCTGACCTTGGCATTTGCTGATCAATCATCATGTCAGAATGCTTTCAGAAAACCAGTTCAATGCATGATTTCAGGATGATTTGACTCTTTTCACTCTTAACTTACACATTCCTGTCCATCATGCGCTGCTCCATAATCACATTATGGAAATAAAACGGGCTTCATGTCGAGTTGAAATGTGTAAATGCTCATTTTGGCTTTGCGTGTCAAGTTAAAAGTCCATCTTATTGATATGTTTAAGTGTGTTGGAACAGCAACTTTAGTCTTATCAGGTTTAGCATGAGTGACACATGGTGGCTGGCAGATGTTGTTTTTCAGCACTAATTCTGAGGTCAGATAAGTGTTATCTTCCGTAAAGGTTCACGTTGTGCAACGGGGATCTGAAACTTCCCATATAGTTCAGTTAAAGGGGGCTGTGAGACCCTGAATATTTCTCAACATGTTCTGACTGAACCCGCTGAACTGAGCTTTACACGTGGCTTCGTGCTTTTTTTGGGACTTTGCCAATGCCACTATATAGGCTGCAAATGATATCAAAGTTTACCATTGTTTGACTATAGCAAGACTAACTGAAACTGTGCAATTTGAGAAGAAATGTTGTAGATTTATATTATTAACCTATTAAACATTTTCCATATTGTTCATCTAACATGCAGGAGTCTAACTGTTGAGTTTTCACGGACGGCATTATGGATCTGCACAAAAAAAAAAGTGATTTCTGACACTTTTGATAATGGCAATATAAAATTGTTATTGGGAGTTTATTGATACAGACTTTGAATTTACATCCAAATTATTATTAATCTACACTGAACCCAAACCCCAAAGTTGCTATAAACTTTCTCAATCTCAATCTCATGCCGCTGCCAAATCTGCCACTTTCTGAGAACACAAAAGATGAAATGAAAATCAATAGGGTCCAATGTTATTTGGACTCCTAACTTTCTTTAAAATATATGTTTGTGTTCTGCTGAAGAAAGTTGATGGTGGAATTATTCTTGGGTAACTTTTCCTGTAATCTACTGGGTTCAGACAGTGTGAATGCTGTAACCTGTTAATATGATTGCCAAAATAAATACACACTGCATTTTCAGGCAATGTGAAACAGGCCTGAATGGAGTGAGGAAATCTGCCTTTTAATTACACCTGGCAGCTGCAAAGCATTTGGGTTCAGTGTAGATTCATCACCATTTGGATGTAAATGTAGGCTACATTAGATTTCATGATGATCAAGTCTGTAATTGTTCTCAATGATAAACTCCCAATAACCATTCGATACCACTGCCAGAGGTAATACTCAATGCAGTAACCTAGAAATCACTTCATTTGTTTTGTTTTTTTATAATTTTGCATAATGCTGTCCGTGTGTGAATACTCAGCACAAGCCTGCTGAAACACAAAACACAACATGTTTTTATTAGGCGAATTAAATGAATCTACAACATTTCTGCCAAAATTCCAGTTTCACTTAGTCGAATTATAGTCAAACCGAGCTGTAATGTTTTTAGATATAGCTATTACACATAAAACAAATTCCATAAAATTTACGGTAAAAAAAAAACCGGCAGCTGTGGTTGCCAGAATTTTACTGTAAAAAATACAGTAGCAACATTTTAGGTTTTACGGTTTGAACTTAAATTTACAATTAAATACCGTAATTTCATTAACTTGTATAATGTTAATATACCAACCTATTGAAGTACTGAAATCTCTTTTGTAGCTTTGTAATGCACTGATAACCACCAAAAGCAGGTGGTGATGAAAGTCACATGATGAACCAAAGCCCATCACAAGCAGCTTTTAAATATTAACATATATAGAAGGTGCACAGTGTCATTCACACGAACACTAAACCCCATCATGGTCACACACATGAAACTTAAATAATGCAATAAACATTAATTTAACAACATTAGATGTAACATACAACCCTAATGTACAAAACGGATAAGAAAAACAAAAAAAACATCAAATTTGAAATGTAACGCAGGGAATTCTGGGAATGTCAATGTACGGTTATTCACTGTAAATTATATGTTCTTTTTCAGTTTTTCACCATATATAGTAGGGGAACTTACCGTTAACCATTTAACAGGTTTTACTGTAGCATTTTTACAGTTTTTACCATTACATTTTTTTTTGCGCTTACTTTTGCTCTATGGTAAATTTTATCTGACTGAGAACCGGCTTCGATAAAGTGTCTCTGTTTTTATCATTTTGTCTCATAATTGTGTTTGTGCACTAATATACTCCATCATTAGCTCTAACGTTACTGCACTGCCTGAGGCGAGCTTTTATGAGGAGAAGGCAGACGCGTTCACTTTTCCATTGCTTTTTACAAATTATTTGTCTACCCCATTTTGCATATCCTGTGCATTTCTGCAAGAAATTAGAGATTCGTGTATTTATATCTTCTGGCGCAGCCCAAATCACACGGACCTCTTGCTTAAGACTGCAGCGCAGTTGTAACCAGAACCTTGGAATGCGAACGCGTTTTGTTCCACCCGGCGACTCAACAACGGGAGCGAACCATTGCCAAAAACAGGGGGAGCCGTTTTACAAGAGCGGGCTTTCGTCAACTTTTCGCGTCTGATTATCGATATGTTTGTGTGTTTCGGGAAGTGATTGTATGTCGTAACACATACGCCCCATAACTGCCCTCAAACAGCTCAGCACCGGCGACTCGAGCTCGATGATTAATTCCGCGCTCCCCCATCCATAACTCAAGACGACTTATTTGATTGACGGCTCCATATTTTTTGTACGATTTTTTTTTCGGTGGCTCCAGAAAGGACAAAAACGGGGCAATACAGACAGAGAGGAAAAGAGGGAGAGAAAACAACAAACGCTGCTGGAAAGAAAGTGCGAGCTCAAGAGCGCTGGGAGGCACCCAGGGTCAAAACTGTGAAAAATACATATATATTTCACAGACAAAGGAGTGTCGACTTTTGCTCATTTCTTTATTTTAGGGAAGTTGGGCACGCCGACATCAAAATTATTTTGCATAAGAGGTAAGTGCAATCTCCCAACGCTTTATAACAGCCTGTTTATGTATGCATATAGGCCTATATATATATATATAAAAGTTACACTAGCCTATATACCGCATTAATGTTTTTTAATGCACGCAACAATGTGTTGCCCATAACGGTCACGATTTGCACGATTTGTTGTGCATAATGTAACAAAACGTAAATATTCATAGACCATAAGTGCTGATAGTGGCGAAAATATCCGTTTCAAATAACACAAGAGACGTGACCCTAATCTCTTCCAGCGGCTGGAAACTTGTAAACATAAAGCTGCATTAAAATCAGCTTGCTTAACATGAGCCACAACAAGTACCATTCAGTACATTTTTAAGTACGCTTTAGGGTTGCAAGCATTACAGAGCCAGCCCACATTTCTCCAAGAGTTTTTGGTGAATTGATGGGCTGCGAGCGCGCAAACGTTACTTGACGCGAGCCGTAACATGTCAGTTTACCGGTGCTTTAACTCACGGTGGTCTTTGTTCATGGATTGTGTGGATCTTGCGCTGGAGCGATGCATACGTGTTGCATTTTGTTGATGTGAACTTGAATTTTAAAAGACAAACAGGCTCACGCGGCGGGCTGCGCCTCCAGACCTGGGCTTTTCCGCGGTTCTGCAGAGCTCTGTTCATTTTGTGGCTGTGGAGAATGTGTGTCAATGTCAAAGGGAGGTGTGTCGCGGGCTCAGACAAACCCGCAGAGGCCTTTTCCAGAAACACTGCACGCAACAAACACGCACAAAGACCGTGTCCTGGAAATGCGTCTGGACTCACTGAGATACACGGTTATCTGTCTGCCGAGTCCTCTGGCGGTTTATCTGGGGGTCTTCAGTGAGTCATGCAGTCTTTAAAGGGATAGTTCACCAAAATAAATAAATATATATATATATGCAATATTAACGATAGTCTTTTCCTTGCAACAGAAGCTATTTATTTTATAGTGCTTTTTGGAGCTCAACAGAGTGAATTATAGCTATTATAATTCACTCTGTTGAGCTCCAAAAAGCACTATAAAACTAGACTATATTCAGTCTTCTGAAGTGATATGATAGTTTTGTGTGAGTAACATCATATTTAAGTCATACCTTTTTTCAGAAAATCTTCACCGCAGAACTCAGATTTGCACATTATGACTGGTTATGTTGAAAAGCCCTTTTGAAGGGGGAAGTCGTGGCCTAATGGTTAGAGAGTCGGACTCGTAACCCAAAGGTTGCGGGTTCGCGTCTCGTACCGGCAGGGATTGTAGGTGGGGGGGAGTGAATGTACAGCGCTCTCTCCCACCTTCAATACCACGACTGAGGTGCCCTTGAGCAAGGCACTGAACCCCCAACTGCTCCCCGGGCGCCGCAGCAAAAAATCGCTGCCCACTGCTCCGGGAGTGTTCACAGTGTGTGTGTGTTCACTGCTGTGTGTGTGCACTTAGGATGGGATAAATGCAGAGCACTAATTCCGAGTATGGGTCACCATACTTGGCCACATGTCACTTCACTTCACTTCACTTATAGCTCCGCGATACATGTTCCTGTTGTTATTGTGAACATGTCATTAGTGCTTGTCTTAATCTTTCAACAAAAAACATTTTTTCCCCTAGTCCTCTAATTTGATTGGTCTGAGATCCAGATTGCATAATAACTTGCTCCGCCTCTGAAACGATTTTTCTTTTCAGGTGATGTCCCTCTTGTTTTTAAGCCCCTCCCCCTCCAACTACCTCTCTTAGGCTCTGGAAGTAAAAACCCATTCATTTTCTCAATGGTGGTAGTGATTCTGAACAATAACTAATAAACCGATAAAGACCTACTGTGAGCGACAAGGTTGTTAATTGATGCTATATGCTTTCACATTGATTTAAAGGGGTCATATGATACGATTTAAATTTTTCCTTTCTCTTTGGAGTGTTACAAGCT